AAACGAACTCCGAATTAAATAAAACAAATTTTCCCCGACTCCTAAAAATGAGTCGAACAAAATGAACTTTAAAAACGGCAAACATGCATAAAATTTTAAAATGCTCATTTTTGCCTAAGCAAAATAAATCTTCCAAAACCAAATCTTGATTTATTTATAATATCTTCATTTTTCCTAAATATTGGGAAAGTCATATTATTCCCTCTCTTAATTTTTTTTTATAGGAAAAACTTTATGAAGATAATTTAAATAAATCCAAATGATCCTATTTTCAAAATTTGAGAAATCCCAAATATGAAAATAATGAAACTTCCAACTCTCTCCGAGGGTCCTTGAGTTGCGTGAAATTTTCTAGGATCGGAAAATGCGAGAAAAATATGATATGCATGATGACCTAATGTATAACATTCCAAATTGAAAATTTGGGATGTTACACCCAAGCTTGTGGCTTGGCATATCTGTGATGCCCCAAGGTCGGAGCTTCAGACGCCTTCCATGTTTTCCGAGTTTCGTCATGTGAGTTGTTGGTTTATTGCATTCATCATTGCATCATGTGCATTTCATCATGTCATCATGCCATCATGTTATTAATCTTTGCATCTCAACTCAACTAAATAAATTGCATAGATCTTCTGATCTATTTAAATCGAGAGAATTCACATGGTGAGTTCTCTTTATAACATACCCTCCCGATATTTAGGGAGCTATTATAAAATATTCCATTTTTCAGAATCACCCATAACACATATGCACCATTCTTCAAATTTCCTTTTATCCTTCTCAACTTCCCTTCTTCCTTTGGGGCCTTTTAGTAAATTGAGTTGCAATTTTACTTTGCCCATAAATGTTCCAAATCTGGCCATAAATCACATCTAGTGTGTAGGGTCACCTCCTATAATTTCAACCCATTTGGAGTTCATTTGAATGGGTTTCGAAATTCGAACTTGCCGAGTTAAATCCAACGCGTGTGGATTTTACTTCCTATAAAAATCGTTAGGCCATTTTTGTCTAATTCCTCGTATTTTTGTGAGTCTGGGGAATTTTATCCACGTGTCCAAGTTCTATCCCTAACTTTTCCGTTATTTTCTTTTTCTTCTTTGTTATTTTCTGTTTATAGAAAATAAGAGAGAGTGAGAGAGAGAGGGAGAGAGGAGCCCAACCAGCCCAGCTGGCCACTTGGGCCTTAGAGCCAGGCCGACCTGCTTCCCCACTATCCCACCGAGGCCAGCTGACCCCCTCCTATCCTAACTCTGGGCCAGCCCACCTGAACCATTTCTAACCCTAGGCCCCCGATCCCATCTCCCTCCCTCGTCTCCCCTTGCGCCGCCACAACCCCATCCCCATCGATCCCTTCTCTCCACTTCGTCCTCCGCATGCAGGAGCCCGTGCCTGATCCCCATCTCCTTCCCCTCGCCCTCTCCTCGATTCCCTCCTCCCACAGGCACGCACAAGTGATAAGGATCCTGGAACCTGTGCTCCTTGTGCCTGAAGGTCGAGCTCGCGAGCTCCTGGGTTGCTCTTCCTCCCGCTGGGACCAGAAGCGCCGCCGCCCTCGACCCGCCTTGCCGTTGCCATGGCCTGGAGCCTGCGCCTCGGTTGTTTCATGGACCACAGCCGCCGCGCCTTCCCTCTTTTCCGTGCCCGCGTGCTGCCCGGCGCCTCCTCCTCCAGTTCGTAGGGCGAACGTCGGCAACCTTCGCTGCTAACCGTTGTCTGCCGGCCTCCCCTAGCTGCTGGGCACCTCCTCTACTCAACGACACCTTGTGTTGCTCGCCGGGGACGTCGTTGCGCCTCTGCCTCGTCTCTATACTCCCACGGCTCTGCTAGCTTCGTCACCGCCCCTGCTGGCCTCGCTCAGGCAGGCCGCCGCTGCTCCCCTACAGCATCACCATGGCCCCATGCGCATCCTGCTGTTGCCTTTGCCCCATGCATCCACCACTACTGTGAGCACCACATTGTTGCCTCTCTTCTCTCTGAATCACAGCACACACACACGATTTTGCGCAGCGAACTTGCAGCTGCTTTTCTGCTTCTTCTTCTCCTTTTATTTCTGAACTTCAGGTGAACATGCCGTAGTCCTGCCGCTCTTACCGGATCGCGCCATCCCACGATCGAGCACGCAGTCCACGGCCTCCTACGATCGCTCCACGGTACGCACAAGTCGCGCCTCGCGGAAGCCACCAACTAACCTGACGGAAAAAGCTAACTGAATCCTAACAGAAAACTATGACGAGGCAAAGTCTGAAACTACTGAAACTAGACACGCTAGCTAAACTAGCTTATTGTGCAACAAACTCCCCCTAAGCTAGGTTGGCTTGTACTTGACGATCCCCACACGATCACGCATCTCCTGGAACTGAGTTCGCCCGAGCGCCTTCGTGAGAAAGTCTGCAAGTTGATCGCCAGTCCTGACATACTGAACGTCGATGCTGCCGTCCTCAACACACTGACGAATGAAGTGGTAGCGGAGCTCAATGTGCTTGCTCCTGTCATGGAAGACAAGGTTCTTGCTCAGTGCGATGGCTGACTTGTTGTCGATGCAGAGCCTGGTGGCGCCGTCGTCACGCCCAAGCAGTTCCCCGATCAGCCGTCTGAGCCAGATGCCCTGACAGGCAGCACCAGCCGCGGCGACGTACTCTGCTTCGCACGAAGAAAGTGCGACGATCTTCTGCTTGGCTGACTGCCATGATACCGGGCTGCCACCGAGGAAGAAGATGGTGCCGCTGGTGCTCTTGCGGTCGTCCAAGTCTCCCCCGAGGTCCGAGTCGCTGTAGCCGACGAGCTCTGCGCCGTGCTCCTGCCGTGCATAGCGACATCCCAGCTGGCGTGTGCCGGCGATGTACCTGAGGAGCTGCTTCACAGCAGCCCAATGTTCGCTCGTCGGAGCTTCCATGAATCTGCTGACATACCCGACGGCGTAGGTTATGTCCGGGCGCGTGTGGGTGAGGTAGCGGAGGCTCCCCACCACGCTCCTGTAGTAGGTGGCGTCCACAGGCTCACCGGCCCCCTCCCGCCTGAGCTTAAGGCGCTGCTGCATCGGCGTGGCCACGGGGTGACAGTCGGCCATGCCGGCCTTCTCCAGTAGCTTGCCGGCGTACGCGGATTGTGCGATGATGATCTGGCCCGGCCTCTGGTCTACCTCGATGCCGAGGTAGTAGCTCAGTAGCCCCAGATCGCTCATTTTGAAGAGCGCCATCATCTCCTTCTTGAACTCAGCGATCGCTGTCGTGGATGCTCCGGTGACAATCAGATCGTCTACATACACGCCCACCAGGAGCCGGCCACCATGACCAGCCCGCGTGTACACTGCATGTTCGGATGGGCATCTCTCGAAGCCTAGAGCATTGAGGCTGCTGTCGAGCTTCGCGTACCATGCCCTCGGTGCCTGACGCAGCCCATAGAGCGCTTTGTGCAGTCGGAGCACCTTGCTCCTCGCGCCGGCGTGCTCGAATCCGGGAGGCTGCACCACGTACACCTCCTCCTCAAGTTCACCGTTGAGGAAGGCCGATTTGACATCCAGATGGTGCACCTCCCATCCTTCCTGTGCGGCTGCGGCGAGCAACACACGCATAGAGTCGAGACGGGCCACCGGGGCGAAGATTTCTTCAAAGTCGATCCCGGCGCGCTGCACAAACCCCTTTGCTACCAGACGGGCCTTGTGTTTGATCACCTCGCCGGCGGCGTTCCTTTTCTCCTTAAAAACCCACTTCAGGCCGATGGGTCGGTGACCTGCAGGCAGATCGCAGAGAGACCAGGTCTCGTTAGACTCAATGCACGCCATTTCTTCAGTCATCGCTGCCCGCCACGCCGCATGGGGCTCCGCTTCTGCGAACGTCGCCGGCTCTCCCTCGGGTAGTAGAAGGAGGTGCTCTGTCCTTCCGCCTTGCGCCGCGGCAAGATTGACCACATCATCCAGGCGGCGAAAGCGGTGCACGGCGTCGGGATCGTCTGCGTCGTCGAACATGTCCGCGTCATGAGGTGGCGGGGTTGCGAACTGCACATCATGCCAGACAGGGGTGGCAGCTGACGCGCCACCTGCTGCTGGCGAAAGCGGTGCCCCGACATCGGGACCGGAGTGTGGCGATGCAGGCGTGTTCTCTCCAGCCGCCCCGGTGGCAGGTTCGGGTGACGGCGGAGCAGAGATTCTTGCCGGGGTGACCACATCTTCAAGAGGTCCACCGTATGCCGAGAAGTCGACGACGAAGGAGCCGCCTGCGCCCGCCGTCTCGTTGCTCCAGTCCCAGCTCGCGCTCTCGTCAAACACAACGTCGCGGGACACGTGCACCCTGTGCGTCGCCGGGTCGTACACCCTGTATGCCTTGGAACCAGGCTCATACCCGATGTGCACCATGGGAGTACTCCGATCGTCCAGCTTCTTGAGGAGGGGGCGCGCGCTCTTGACATGCGCCACGCACCCGAAGACTCGCAAGTGGCTCACCTCTGGCTTCCTGCCATGCCAGGCCTCGTACGGCGTCGCCCCGTCCACGCTGCGCGTGAACGCCCGGTTCAGGAGATAGACGGCCGTGGTTACCGCCTCTCCCCAGAAGTAGTCCGGCATGCCCTTGGCCTTCATCATGCTCCTTGCCATGCCCACCACCGTCTGGTTGCGCCTTTCGACCACCCCGTTCTGCTGCGGGGAGTAAGGCGCGGTCAGGTGGCGCTGGACTCCGATGGACGCGAAGTGCTTCGCCAGCGCCGTGGACGTGAACTCTCCTCTGCGGTCCGTCCGCAGTGTGCCCAGCCTACGCCGTGCCTCTATCTCCACACGCGCCTGGAATTCCTTGATTGTTGTCGCGGCTTCGTCCTTGCTCGTCAGCAGGTTGAGCCACATGTAGCGGTTGTGGTCGTCCACGAGGAGAAGGAAGTAGCGCCGTCCTCCTGGTGTCGCTGGTGTGATCGCTCCGCAGAGGTCCGCGTGGATGAGGTCGAGCGACGCCTCCGCTCTGTACTTGGCCGTCTGGGGGAACGGCGCCCGGCGTTGCTTGCCGGCAAGGCACGCCTGGCAGAGCTCTCCGGAGTGCTCAATGCCTGGCAGCCCTCGCACCATTCCTCCCCGCGCCATCCTCTGCAGAGCGTCGATGTGCAGGTGACCGAAACGGGCGTGCCAGCGCCATGACACGTTGTCCGTGCGCGCACCGAGACAGACCGGGCGCACGGGGTGAATATGCAGTTTGTACAGGCGATTTGAAGATCGCTTTACCTTGATAATTAGGTTTCCGCGTCGGTCGTGGACGGAGAGGATGCCGTGGTGGACGTTGATGTCGCAGCCGTTCTCGTCGAGTTGTCCAAGGCTCACCACGCTGCTCTTGAGCCTGGGGATGTAGTACACGTCCGTCAGGGCGCGTTGCGCTCCCCTCTTGGTGCCGAATGCGACGGTGCCGCGCCCTTCGATCTGGACCACCGAGCCGTCCCCGAAACGTACAGATCCGGTGATCGCGTTGTCGAGCTCGGCGAACGCCGTGCGGTCGCCGGTCATGTGGTTGGACGCGCCAGAGTCCAGGTACCACACCGGGTCCGGGGCGGCGTCCCCTGCGGCTGGGGCGACGCTGGACTGCTCCTCATTGAGGAAGACAACGACCCGGGGTGGATCGCGACGAACATCGACCGGTGACTCCGTCTGGATCGGGTGCGCGAGCTCGACTACCTCGGCGAACAACATCTGAGGATCGGCCTCCTCATCGGCCTGGGCGAGAAGGGCCTCCTCCTCCCTCTTCTTCCTCCTGCATTCGCGGGCCCAGTGGCCCTTGATGCCGCAGTATCGGCACTTCTCCTTGTCCCCGCCGCTCTTGTCGGGGTAGTCCGTGCCGCGCCCGGCGCCACGTCCGCCACCGCGGCCCCTTCCTCGGCCACGGCCACCGCCCTTGCGGCGGTTGTTGTTGCCGCCCGAGGCACGCGGTTGCAGTTCGCTGGCCTGCCACTCCTCCCGGGTGAGAAGCAGCCGCCCACCTTGGCTGCTGTTGGCGCCTTGTGCGTCGTCGAGGCGGTCCTGCACGACGCGCAGTCTGCCGGTGACCTCGTCCAGAGAGAGCGTGCTGATGTCCAGCAGCGTCTCGATCGCGATCGCCACCTGCGCGAACTGGGGTGGAACCACACGTAAGAACTTGGCCACTACCTTTGATTCTTCCACGATGTCGCCAAGAGCGCGCAGGCCGGCGACGATCCCTGACAAGCGGAGCGAGAAATCGTCGATCGTCTCCCCGTCGCGGAAGGTGATGCCCTCGAAATCACGCCGGAGTTTCTGCGCGTTGGCCTCGCGCACGCGCGTGGCTCCGAGGCGCTGCAGGGCGATGGCGTCCCAGGCCTCCTTGGCGGTTTCCTTCTCGCCCACCGCGAGCAGCACATCCGAAGGGAGGCCGCGCAAGATGGTGATCATCGCGTTGCGCTCGTTGTGGTAGGTGACGTCGCCATGGGAGACCGCCCCCCACCAGCCATGGGCCTGAAGGTAGACCTTCATGAGCAGAGCCCACTCGGCGTAGTTGGTGCGCGTCAGCATCGGGAGCGCGCCCGAAGAGGGCGCCGGCTGCACCATCGTCTGCGTTGGCACGTCGCCGCGGCGGCGAGTTCGTCCCCGATCCTGGGACGGTGCTCGAAGGCGTGGAGGTGTCTCCGAACGCCCTGAGCCGCCCGCGGACGCCCTTGCCTGGGCCGCCGGCGTCTTTGACATGGCTCTGATGCCACTTGTTGCCTCTCTTCTCTCTGAATCACATCACACACACACGATTTTGCGCAGCGAACTTGCAGCTGCTTTTCTGCTTCTTCTTCTCCTTTTATTTCTGAACTTCAGGTGAACATGCCGTAGTCCTGCCGCTCTTACCGGATCGCGCCATCCCACGATCGAGCACGCAGTCCACGGCCTCCTACGATCGCTCCACGGTACGCACAAGTCGCGCCTCGCGGAAGCCACCAACTAACCTGACGGAAAAAGCTAACTGAATCCTAATAGAAAACTATGACGAGGCAAAGTCTGAAACTACTGAAACTAGACACGCTAGCTAAACTAGCTTATTGTGCAACACACATCCGCAAGCCCCTGCTTCCTTCGGTTGCAGCCAGTTCGTTTTCTTCTGTTGGATACCGACGCCCGAACGACTACAAGGTGTTGCGCCAAGTACCACCACCATCGACCGCTTAGGGCTGGGAGTCACCATTTACCTCTCCGAACGAACGTGAACGACTACCGTCGCCATGGATCCGACAAGTACCCCTACAACAAGTGTACCTCTACCGCCGTCTTCGGAATCACTAAGAACACCAAGTACCCCTTCGAGTTGACGAGACCAGAAAGTTCGAAGACCCCAAGTACCTCTTCGAAACGACCGAGTACCACTGCCGTCGACCTTCGAAGATCCCGTGGACATCATGTTCCGTGTCGTGACCCCGAACCTCAATGAAAACGTTGTACGACTACTTTCTTGGCCGAAGACCCATGTAGAACTACCGTCGCCGTGTACGACTACCTCCATTACGAACGTCCCAAGAACGTCTACTTCCTATACTTTGCACCGAACGAGAACCGTCCCGTTTGCACGGTTCGAAGGTATAATTCCGAGACGACCGTTCGAGAACGAATGCTTGTGTCGTATGAGATGCATGTTTGGATGTTGTATCCTCCCATGAACGTTAGTTGTTTCCCTCGCTTGGCACTATCATCGACCCATGGGAACCCGGTTACCGGGAGCACCCCACCATCCTTGCATGACATGCTCCCGTCACTTTCTTTTGCACTGACGTCTCAATGAGTTGTCGTACCAGAAAGTTGCCGTGGCACCGTTTTGTTATCGTCGTCGTGGCACCCCTTTCGTTTCTGCCACGATGATAAATGCTTCATAGCATGCTCTTATCAATATTTTCATAAATACTTGCATAAAACTTGCACATGTCATCCGCATCATGTTAATAACATTTAATATGTTTAAAATTGTTGTTTGCATTAAATTGCTAAATGCATATGGGGATTCACCGGAATTGTTGTTTGATGTTTCCGGCCTCATTTAAAATGTCTAACAGTGTATTTTACTCATGTTTCACCTCTTGCCATGTTAAGAACATTTAATTTTGTTGGGTACATAACCGGGAGTGAACTAAATAATTAAATGTGGTGTTTCGTCAATATGCAACTCATTGCATATTGAGCTCCACTTAACTTGTAGTTTTGCTTGTGCACTTTGCCATGCCATGCATATTTAAACCGGTCATGCATCATACTTGTTTGCGCATCGTGCCATCCTTATGTGATGGTTGTTTACTATATTGTTTGCTTCTTTCCGGTGTTGCATCTTCGGGTTAGTTCTGATAACGTCACGTTTGTGAGGATCCGTTCGACTATGTCCGTTTGTCTTCTTCATGGACTTGTTCTTCTTCGTTGCGGGATCTCAGGCAAGATGACCATACCCTTGAAATCACTTCTATCTTTGCTTGCTAGTTGTTCGTTCTACTGCTATGTCGCGCTACCTACCACTTGTTATATCATGCCTCCCATATTGCCATGTCAAGCCTCTAACCCACCTTCCTATCAAACTGTTGTTTGGCTAAGTTACCGCTTTGCTCAGCCCCTCTTATAGCGTTGTTAGTTGCAGGTGAAGCTGAAGTTTGTTCCATGTTGGAACATGGATATGTTGGGATATCATAATATATCTTATTTAATTAATGCATCTATATACTTGGTAAAGGGTGGAAGGCTTGGCCTTATGCCTGGTGTTTTGTTCCACTCTTGTCGCCCTAGTTTCTGTCATACCGATGTTATGTTCCTTGATTTGCGTCCCTTACACGGTTGGGTGCTATGGGAACCCCTTGGCAGTTCGCTTTGAATAAAACTCCTCCAGCAAGGCCCAACCTTGGTTTTACATTTGCCTAACAACCTATATCTTTCCCTGGCGAGTAATTAACCCGAGGGTCATCTTTATTTTAACACCCCCGAGCCAGTGCTTCTCTAAGTGTTGGTCCGAACCGGAGCCACTTGCGGCGCCACCTAGGGGAAACTTGAGGGCTGGTTTTAGCTGTACGTAGTGTTCATCCGGTGTTGCCCTGAGAACGAGATGTGTGCAGCTCCTATCGGGATGTCGGCGCATCGGGCGGTCTTGCTGGTCTTGTTTTACCATTGTCGAAATGTCTTGTAATCGGGATTCCGAGACTGATCACGTCTTCCTGGGAGAAGGAGTATCCTTCATTAACCGTGAGAGCTTGTGATGGGCTAAGTTGGGACACCCCTGTAGGGTTTGAACTTTCAAAAGCCGTGCCCACGGTTATGTGGCAAATGGAATTTGTTAATGTCCAGTTGTAGATAACTTGACACTTGACTTAATTTAAAATACATCAACCGCGTGTGTAGCCGTGATGGTCTCTTCTCGGCGGAGTCCGGGAAGTGAACACGGTTCTTGTGTTATGCTTGAACGTAGGTAGTTTCAGGATCACTTCATGATCACTTCTAGCTTTGTGACGCCCCCGATTCAATCGTACACTAACCATGCACGCAAACGTGTACGATCAAGATCAGGGACTCACGGGAAGATATCACAACACAACTCTACAAATAAAATAAGTCATACAAGCATCATAATACAAGCCAGGGGCCTCGAGGGCTCGAATACAAGTGCTCGATCATAGACGAGTCAGCGGAAGCAACAATATCTGAGTACAGACATAAGTTAAACAAGTTTGCCTTAAGAAGGCTAGCACAAACTGGGATACAGATCGAAAGAGGCGCATGCCTCCTGCCTGGGATCCTCCTCAACTACTCCTGGACGTCGTCAGCGAGCTGCACGTAGTAGGGGCACCTCCGGTGTAGTAGGGGTCGTCGTCGACGGTGGCGTCTGGCTCCTGAACTCCAGCATCTGGTTGCGACAACCAGAAAGAAAGGAAAAGGGGAAAAAGGGGGGAGAAAGCAACCGTGAGTACTCATCCAAAGTACTCGCAAGCAAGGAACTACACTACATATGCATGGGTATATGTGTAAGGAGGCCATATCAGTGGACTGAACTGCAGAATGCCAGAATAAGAGGGGGATAGCTAATCCTGTCGAAGACTACGCTTCTGGCAGCCTCCGTCTTGCAGCATGTAGGAGAGAGTAGATTGAAGTCCTCCAAGTAGCATCTTCAAGTAGCATCTCCAAGCAGCATCTCCAAGTAGCATCGCATAGCATAACCCTACCCGCGATCCTCCTCTCGTCGCCCTGTAGAAAAGCGATCACCGGGTTGTCTGTGGAACTTGGAAGGGTGTGTTTTATTAAGTATCCGGTTCTAGTTGTCATAAGGTCAAGGTACAACTCCAAGTCGTCCTGTTACCGAAGATCACGGCTATTCGAATAGATTAACTTCCCTGCAGGGGTGCACCACATAACCCAACACGCTTGATCCCATTTGGCCGGACACACTTTCCTGGGTCATGCCCGGCCTCGGAAGATCAACACGTCGCAGCCCCACCTAGGCAAAACAGAGAGGCCAGCACGCCGGTCTAAACCTAAGCGCACAGGGGTCTGGGCCCATCGCCCATAGCACACCTGCATGTTGCGACGGCGGCCGAAAGCAGACCTAGCCTAGTGGCGTTCCAGTCCAATTCGGCGCGCGCCGCTCCGTCGCTGACGTCTGAAGTGCTTCGGCTGATACCACGACGTCGAGATACCCATAACTACTCCCGCGTAGATGGTTAGTGCGTATAGGCTCGTAGCCAACTCAGATCAAATACCAAGATCTCGTTAAGCGTGTTAAGTATCCGCGAACGCCGAACAGGGCCAGGCCCACCTGTCTCCTAGGTGGTCTCAACCTGCCCTGTCGCTCCGCCACCAAGTAACAGTCGGGGGCCGTCAGGAACCCAGGCCCACCTCTACCGGGATGGAGCCACCTGCCCCTTCAGCCCCCAACTCCGAACAGTATCACAGGTAATGTAACAGTGTAAAGTATATAGTATATGCCCGTGATCACCTCCCGAAGTGATCACAGCCCAGTAGTATAGCATGGCAGACGGACAAGAGTGTAGGGTCACTGATGGAACACTAGCATCCTATACTAAGCATTTAGGATTGTGGGTAAGGTATCAATGACTGTAGCAGCAATGACAGGCTATGCATCAGAATAGGATTAACGGAAAGCAGTAACATGCTACACTACTCTAATGCAAGCAGTATAGA